ATACCTTTCTGTTTAATACGATGCTGTGACATTTGGGGACCGTTTGCATTCGGTACATTACTTTACGAAGCGCGAGGCCAGCACGACAAGCGCACCAGCCTCCCGCGTCGTCTTCTCCTCGTACTTCTAACAAGTATCAGCGCGCCTCGCCAGGGGGAGGAGTGGCGCTGCGTATGCGCGACGAAACTTCAGCCGCACAGCCCTATACGCGACATGTGCGTAGCGTAGTTTCGCTTTGGCCAGCTCGAACACTCACGGCGACGACGCGCATTTTATGAAGTAGTGTTGTGTTTGCACACGCACTCCCGTGCACGAAAAAATTCGGCAGAGACACTTAAACGAGTAAGAATGCTTCCGCATTCCTACAAGCTGCGCGCCACGTTCTTTTTCACACGGCGCTCCGGCGGTGACATCACGCTCCCCCACTGCGCAGGCGCGGCGAACGGCGTGACGACGGCTTCCGTGACGAAGCATCTGCGTTACTGTGCTGTTCTTTGTTTTATTTGTGAGGCGTGTCCGCTTTGCAGCCAATGGGAATTTATGTTTCGTTTCGCTCAGCCAATGAGAATTTAGGTGCTGTTTCGCTCAGCCAATTGGTATTTAGGTGCCAATTCGCTCAGCCAATGGGTATTTAGGTGCCATTTTTCACTGTTACAGACGTCAGAAAACGCCCACTTAGCTCCATGGGTCCAGTTATTGGTTGCACATTAAAACACGAAATGTCTACAAGTCTCGGCTGATTTGTGGGCGTCTAACTTCATAGAATGTCACACGTGTACACAAGTTTCCACTGGGACGTCAGGGAGGGCCAAGTAACTTTCACCACGGAGGTTAAATAAAACGAGATGCGGTGTTTTTTCTAGGCGCCGTATGGTCCAGAAGCAAAAATACTCCAAAAGCCGGGAGACGTCATAATTAAAATAAGTACACCGACTTGACACCGACCGACCAGAAGCACAGATCGATCTATCTTGCGTCCAGTTTTCGACATATATATATATTTTTTTTTTTTAATTTTCCGCCAAGAAAAACTTGAGCCGCACATGCTCATTCTTGCTCACGCAAGAAACTGGTCAACTGGAAGTTATCTCGGCCACAGGAAGTTCCGCCATTGCTTGCCCATGTTTACCTTGAAATATATCATGTGTGACAGATTTAAAAATATAAACTTTTACTTAGAAGCTAGACCATTGGCTTTAACTAAGTAATCTTAATCCTAAATTTAGATTGATCGGAAATGTACTACGAGATGCATCACTCGCTGACGCTAGGCCACCTCGGTCGCTCCAAGGAAAAAGCGCCGGCCTACGGATCCCCAGGTGGCAGGTTCGAATCCCGGCCGAGGTGCCCGCAATATGGCGGAGGCACATTGCGGAGAAGGCGCCGTGTAACCGAGCTAGGGGTTGCATATCAAAAGATCCCCAGGTGGTCGAAATTATTCCGCAGTCCCCCGCTGGGGCGTGTGCCCTTGGTTGGTTTGGCACGTAAAACCCCGAAATTTGACTCGCTGACGCTAACTCTGTCAAATGGCCACGACCACTGATATCTATGACAATTGCTGGACCGCGCCTCCCCGCTCCGCGAGTGCGGCTCCCGGATAGCCATCTTGCACGTCGAAAAATCGCCTTTTTGGAGCGTTGCGTAGGCTGGCGTCAACGAGCTGAAGACGCGATTTCTATAGAAATCGAGTCTTTGCTTTTGACGAGTTCTGTCTTTTTCCTGCGGCACTGCGCTTCCGTAAATATTTCCGCTTGCGTCAAAATTTCTACGTGTTCTCAAAGGCATGTCTCACCGTTTACACAAGGTTTTAAAGGAGCTGTGCAATGATTTTAACGTTGAAAGAATTGGCATCTTCTACTTTTGACATTGTTCATCTTGTCACAGAGGACAGAAAACACACCTCCTTCCTTCGAAATGTTGCGATTCCGCCGCGTAATCGCGAGGCAAAAATTAAAATATTCCCCGACCTGCAGCCGCGAGCGGCGGTATGAGAAACACGCAACGTGACGTCGATCTTGTAGAAAGATAGCAAGTTGTGCGAATATCTGCTCGATAAAAGGTAACGTTTCTATAAATCTTGTCGTTCCAACATTATAAATGCGTCAAAAACCTGGTAATCATCGACAAAACTTTTATTATGCACAGTTTTAGTGGCTAGGGTATCAGGCAAAATCTGTTTTCTGTAGTTCACTTCATAAATGTCAGGCATCAACTTCCAGAATTATTTAAGCAAAGCCCTGAAATTGCTGCACAGCTCCTTTCACGACCTTCTTCGGCGAATGATGACGAACGAGTAAAAACTGTGTTTTCAGCTCGCAGCCGCCAGCGCCCGCAACACTCCAAAAAGGCGATTTTTCGACATGCAAGATGGCCGTTCGGTGCCGCACCGGACGGCCATCTGGAGCGACCACTGATCTCTGATTGCTGCACGGCCTCCGAGATCCCGAAGCGCGCCTTCGCGCACGCGCTTCGGGATCTCGCTGGGGAGCGACTCGAATGGGACGGCCGGAAAAGCCTTCGCGCGCGTGCTTCGGGATCTCAGAGGCCATGATGCTGAATCGTGCTTCCCTGCTTGGTCGCTGCAGCGCGAGTGAAGCCACCGGACGGCCATCTTGCTCATTGGAAAATTGCGATTTTGCTAGCATTGCAAAGATAAGATATCGGCAGCGCGCTGAAGACACATTTCTACTCGTTCGTCGTCATTCGCCGTAGAAGTTTCTAAGACTCTGCGTAAACGTTGAGAACACGTGCTAATTTTTACAAAGCGCAGTGCCGCAGGAAAAAGGCACAACTCGTCGAAAGCAAGTTTCGCCGGTTTCGCGGCGTTATCAAAGCTTCCTTGGCACGCAGAAGTGCTGCGTCTCTGTGGCAGAGAGACGCAGCACCGGTAAATAATTTACGGTTATGGTTACACTTTTCGTAAATTTCAAAACAATGATGTTGTTACGGTTACGGTTACTGAAAAAATTTCGTTCCTAATCGGTTTTCGGTTTCGGTTACCCTTCCCCCCAACACTTCCGACCCGACGCCGGGTCCATAGGAAGCGAGCAAGCCGGCCGTGTCGCGGCGGTCGCCTATTGTTCGCCGCGACCTGGCGGTGGCCGCCGCAGGAGCATCGGGCAGCAATGGCGATGAACAGCACGGCGGACAGTGTCCCCGTCGTGATTACGACGGAATTTAAGGCAGTTACGAGTTCGGAAAGTTCCTTCGGAAGCCGGTGCCGCCGGCTCAGAATCATCGCGAAGTAATAGCAACGAACAGCACAGAGGACAGTGGGCGACTAAGATTCCGGAAAGCTTCCTCGTAGCCGGTGCAGAATCATCGGGGGAAGCAGTGGCGATTAGCAGCACAGCGGACAGTGTTCCCGGAGTGATTACGACGGGGTTTAAGGCGGTTACGAATCCAGAAAGCTTCTTCCGTGGTGCCAATATGACGAAGAAAAAACTGTTTCATGAATCTGGCCGCGTGTGCGACGTGAAGGAGGTCCGTTTTGACGGACAAGTGGATATGTCACGGAGCGCCGTACTCTGCAAACAAAATTAAGCGCGCCCGCAAAAAAAAAAAAAAAAAAAAATGTTGGCGTTGAGTGGACTGCGGTAATTATGTACGTTTATTTCTGAATCAGCTTGACAATAACTGGGCGATTTCTTTTCGCGCCGTTCCGCGATTCTCTTTACTATCTTCCTGTAGGCTGATGGAAACATCCAACGGTAGGCTTAGGAGGGCGACTGCATTCCGCTTCTCGATTCCGGTGAAGTATTTGCTGCATACTTTAGAGTTTGCCGTCGGTGTCGATGCTGTTCCATCGTCGCTAGAAGAGAAAAAAAGTTAATTGTATTATTCGTCAGCAGCTTAAACAAAGCGCGAACTGGAAGGTAAGAAACACCACTAACCTGTATGGACGCACAAGTCGTACCCAGGTCGCGCAGTACAGTACTCCGCCTCGTACGGCTTCGAAGGGACGATGTAGTACTTCGTGCCGTCATCGATGTTGCCGACCACTCAGCAATTGTTGGGGCTTTCTTGGTGCGTAATAGCCATCTCAGAAATTACAGCGCTAACCCACTACAACTATGGTGGCTACTACAACGCACAACCAACGCAGCGACTGGCAGAAATGCCCGATGCAACGGACCCGTTTGCCGCTAGGGGCGCCCTGGTCGGGGCTTGAATTCTCAGTTAAGTCTCAGTCTCAGTTAAGAAGAAAGTTAAGGCCACAGAAAGAGATTGGTGGCTAGAGGGAATGCAGACAAAGACGGCTCTGGAAAGCTATAGATTAAACAAAAGAGTTATTGCCAAAGAAAGCATTTATGACAATTCTAGGGGAAGCTCATTGCTGTTTGAGGCAAGAACGGGTGTTCTGCGAACCAGAACATACAGAGTGAAGTACCAGGAAATTGATACAGTGTGCACTGCTTGTGGAGAGGAGGACGAGACGGCTGAGCACTTGATACTCTACTGTAAAGGGCTTCACCCTATGCCTACCGAAGACAACATAGACTTAATAAAGTCATTGGGTTTTAGAGACAGCGAAGGGAGAGTGGATTTCAAGACTGTAGAGATTACCAAGCAAAGATTAAGTGAATGGTGGCAGAAATCGAGAGAAAACTAGGTATTTTCTTATCCACTGATGGCAAGGGGGTTTCATAGCCTCACTTTCTTTGCACTGCGGAGTGAATATAGATTTCACATTTAAATATTCTAAGCTTAAATGGTAAAACAAAATGGCTAGGTGGCGTAAGCTACCGCCCGATCCAAAGGGCTCAGCCGTATTCATCTATCCATTCATCCGAATTAGATCCGCACGGTTCCTATATCACATGATCGAATGACGTTTTAGCGAACAGCGATATTTGAGCGAATCGAAGTTTTAGCGAATAACGAGTACGACCGTGAGTGGGCAAGCGAAAAACGGGGGCGAGAGCGAGGCCATCAATTAATGCAAAGGTGCAATGATGCTGTTCCCCCTCTCCGGGGAGGGGGAGAGGGGGAGGTTGATGTTTTTTTGGCAGATCCCCCAAAGGTCGTCCTGGTGATATCCCACACCGCCTGGCGATAGTTACAAAATTACAGAGGGGAAGAAAATTTCCTCAAAGGCAAAAGGAGGAATCATACCTTTGGTTTTTAGTTTCTAGGCTAGGTGGCGCGAGCTACTCCCCTTTTAATAGGTGCAGGTACATCCATCAGAGGTATACACGGCTCCGGCATCCATCCGTTCATCCATCCGCGTTCGCGTTCTTCACGTCGACTGACGACGACGGCGGAGAAGCGGTATAACCAGCTGAAGCTCTGTTCCAGTGCGCCCGAGCTGATCCAAGAACTGACGATGCTCCCGAGCCCCAGTTCCATTCCTGAACCCCAAATCACGTAAACGGTCGACAGCGCCGCAACAGAGCGGGAGTAATTCCTACGAATCTCAACATTAGGTGAGCGCCGCCACTTGCGCGAATCCCTACTTTCGTTCGACAGGTCTCCGGTGGCCGTTCTTCGCGATTCCAAGCTCTAACGAAGTGCGATTCCAAGCTCTTAGTTCATTTGCCCTAGAAGGTTAAAATAATCATGTCGTGTTTGTAACAAAAGCTGTCGAGCTAGGCTGTCATTTGAAACACAATGCTACCAGTTAATCGCTATGTTTCGGTTCTAATGTGCTCGCGCTTCGCATTCAAACTGCATTTTTCGACTAGGTAATAATGGACTTCGAGAGCCCTGACGTCGAGAAGGATTTCCCGGGACTGTACGCTTCGGAGTCGATCGGAAAAAGCCAGGAGAGGGACGCCAACTGTGAGTTCACCGAGGAGGGCTCAGCCCATGACGGCTCTTTTTTATCGGAGGGTCTACTGTATGGGCATTTCGCCGTGGCTTACTTTCTGTTCGCTGGCACGAGTGATACAAAATAAAAATCGTGCTCAAGCTCGGGAAGATTGTAACTAGACGGCGATGCCCTAAAGCCGCGGCCACGCTGCTTGTGCATCATACAAAAGACAGTCCGCAAACACTGTCCGAGGCGTATAGCCCACTGATCTCTAGGCTGGATCGCGGATCGATGTTTGTTTTGATGGTGTGAAGTGGCACCACCGGTAGCTATCACTTGACGTCAGCCAATACATGGGACTCTATGGGAAGAACGAGAAAAGGAGCCGTTTCCCGTTTCTAAGCTATTTTCGGCACTGAAACTTTCTGGCTGCTTTTCGGGAAGCCTGTCAAATAGCTTGTGGACAAACATTACAATTGACAGCCCTCACAGTTCTTATAAATGTTTTATGGTCCAGAGGGACTTCGCTGGGCGAAAAATATAGTGCAGTTCAATCAGACTAGAGTTACCTAGAGTTACCGCAGAGTCGGTGGCGGTTTTGATGAGTTGGGTTTATCAGGCGACAAGCTTGAAGTATTTTCTACGCGAAATTCGCTCGATCCCTGAAAGCCGCTGTCACGTGAAACTTGTTCGACATTATTCACCTTCTGGGCTTCCCTGAGGATGGTCTTAATGACTGCAAGTTTCTTTGTTTACTCCATGAGAAGAGCAAGCTTGCCAGATCAGCAGTGGGTGCTCCAGCACATTTGATTTTTTAATGCGCGTTCAAACGCTCGACAAATACCGATTCGATCTCCAAACAGCCGATATAATGATCACAGCACATTATAAAATACTTGCCTTTGAGCACCGCGTAGAAGCTCCAATATTTCTACTTTTTCGTGTTTCTTCTATAGACTAGCGTGTATTGCCTGGTGTCGAGCAATGGCCGTCGGTGGTGCCACCTGCAGGCTTCCGATCCGTGATCCAGCCTACTACAATAGAGATCAGTGGTATAGCCATATACATCCATCCATAGCCATTAACCCCTTAAAGGGGCCCTGCAAGGACTTTTTACTGATTTTTAATTCGTACCAAACCTGAGCGCACTGAACGTAGTAACTTAGTGAAACTTTTCTTTTCTCAAAATTCCCTTTATTTGAAAAGTTATAGGCAAATTAAAATGACAAAAACAAGCAAAAAATAACCTCCCTCATGACGTCCTTGGTTGCTTGAGAGGCCGCGAACTAGGAAAGGGGTAGTGAGCTTATCGAGCGCTCACGGCTGCCGCACTCCGTGTCGTCTTAATTCGACGTCACGAGTGGGCGCCATTAAAGCATGTTCTAGAAAGGCTGTATGCTGCGGGCAGCCAGAGCGGCTCTCATTGCATTTGCTGCGCAATTAAATACTAATTTGGCATGAGACTTCATTGGCCATAAACGACAGCAAACACGGGGTAGAGATCAGTTCAGATAGGGAGCCACTTTGTGCTGCCATACCGCGAAACGGCCGAACCGCAAGACAAAGCTTTTTGCCGAAGGCCTTCGGAACGCTTGGAGCCGGTCGGATCCTTCTGGTCATACAACCGCAGTGCCGCCACGTACATCCGGGACCTTCCCGTGTCGGCGCCTGATCCCACTACTCCTTTCTAGTGTGCGCCTCCTTTTCCATTGCTTGGTGGCGGGTATGTCGACGGGTCATTTCTTGTTTCCGTACTATATGAACTGCATTTGTTTCTTTTCTGATCTAAAATGCAGAACAAAAACTACTTTTATATATAATTGAAACGATTCGCGCCACTTATATTTTGTATTTCGACTAAAAAGAAGCTTTTAGCGGCTCTGACGAGTAGTAAGCCCAGGACCAAAGACGTCACATTTAGCGCGCTTTGGTACCGCGGGTCGCCCTCGTCGGTGGAGGAGGTTTCCGTGTCGTCCGGTTAAAATATGAAGCACTGATATTTAGTTACTCTCTCTTTGCCCGCTGGCTTGACCGAACCCCCAGAGACGTGGAAACCGCAAAAAAGGTAGATGCTTAAATATGATTACAGGGCCCCTTTAAGTGCCAAATTTTTTTTCTGAAAGCAACCTAAAAGTGCCATATCTTTTTTTTATTTTGAATTGTTTTGCTATAGTATCGCACATAAAATTTGAAATCAGCGGAGGCAGAGGCGAAAAAAAAATTTTGCCAATGAAAATGAGTGCTGCCATCTATGATCAGCACCGCAAAACTACTCGGACGTCTGTGGAATTGAGGGCTACCGAAAAAACCACTGGACGAGCTGAGCTCGTCCACGGCATTTATAGCCAGAAAGTGGCCAACGAGCTCAGCTTGTCGAAGGCACTTAAGGGGTTAACATCCATGCAACACCCATCCATCTGTCCTTGTATGACAGAAACATTGGTTACACAAAATCTGTCTGCAGACATGTTCAAAGCATATATATGTATGAAGCAAGCGTGTTTCGAACATGCACGAGGCTTTTGGTACTTAATTTCTAGGCTAGGTGGCGCAAGCTACCGCCCGAAATAAAGAGTACAGCCGTTAGCATCCATCCATCCATCCAGCAGCGAACATTGCGTCTTGTATGATGTTTGAGCTGTACAATTGTGGTGGCTTTATGGTTTCCTGCAAACTTTATGAAGACATTGTACATGCTAGCCATTCATCTTGTGCAACCAATTGCTTTACTCTGTTTTGTCATTAGTATAATTGAGTTGTTTATCTGACAATTAACTGGTTGAATCCCCACTGAACTAAATTACTGTTTCCTCAGTTAAGCAGGTTAGAACGATGAGGGCTTGGCTAGTTAAGACATGAGATGGGTATTTCACTGCAGATAGCATTACTTGCAGTGATGTGATCGCTGCACCAATTGCGCCGAACTGCGCCAAGGGGCTAACCCTGCTACATCCTGCTACATTTCACCGAAATATGTGTAATCTGCGCCAAGCCTGCGCCAAAGGACCAATTTCGGTCGCCTTTCAAAACCTAAACTAAACTGAGTACCGTAATTGAGCTTGCGTGAGCTAGGTGGCGCAAGCGACCGCCCGACAGAAAGTATGCTGTATCAATCGTCCATCCGGTCTCGCATGGTTTTTCCCGCCGTTCCTCATTTCGCGCTCTCGTGGGTCTCGTCTCGCATCATCATGAAAATATTTCTTGCCGGTTACCAACCATGCCGTCATGTTGTAAAACGAAACCACGTTTTTGTGCATTGGGAGTTACTTGTGATCTGAAGCACTCGCTTCTGAAAGAAACGGCTGTGGCAAAACTATTTTTGGTCCCTGCCTACCAGTCACCGTGGTTATAACGTCGGGTGTTCCCGTCCACACATTGCCGCAGATATGGCACTTTCTAAAATGACACGTAAGGACCGCTGCAGGGTAATCAGCAATCCTGTCCTTGTTTAAATTAAACTCTACTACAAAAATCCCTGTAGCTCAAAGACTGTTGTGTCGAAGTACTGTTTACCTACGTTTCCCTCGGTGGGATTTCTTTTGAGAGGAGCCCCGGTACGTGAAAAGTCTGTCGCAAAAGAAAGTTTAATACAAGTTACCTAAAACAAAAAAGGCTATGTCTGCATGCTGAACCCGCACAGCGCGCTTGTTTATCTTGAGTTCAGTTGTTGCACAAAGCGCTCCAAGAACTTCTTGACCCTCACTCGCGATGTCTTGCATTGATGCGCTCAGGTTCTTTTTTTATTAGCTTTATTGTCCTTGTTTTGTTTGTTCTTTTTAACCTTTTAAATTAGCTTGTGCCTCGTATACTGGCCTGGCAAGCATGCGCCGCTGGACTGTTTTTTTTTTTTATGCTGGATTGTTACATTTTGCATACAATTTTGGGGACCAGATGGCGACGGAGCGGAGTGGCAGAGTTTCGGTTTCGATCGAACAGCCGTCTCCGCTCGCATAACGAAGCGCGTGCAACTGCAAGCTGCCGAAGTTGCCCTCATGTGCATGCGAACATGATTGCACGACAGAGGTACCAGCCGAGACGCTTGCAATCCATTGCTTTACATTTGCTTGCTTTTGACGAAAATCTGGCATGTCGGGAAGCAGTAAAACGGTGGGAGACGTTTTGGAATTGCTCGGCAACGCCTACAGCACTGTACACTTGTGGGATGTCTCAAGGTCTCTTTGGAGACATTGAAAGTGGACATTCATTACTTGCCGAAAGCTAAGCGAGGCTTGCAGCAGCCTTGCAGAAAGTTTCAACAAGCAGAAGGAAAAGCACCCACCAGTCGTACTGCACCTTTTTCATGTGTACAGTTTCGAATTGCATTTCAGTAGTTACGTGTTTCATCAGTTAGATACTGCTTCAATTTATTATATTATATAAGTAGTGAAGTTTATGCTTTCATATTTACTGGTAAGCTGGTCATTTTCAAATAAATTTAATATGTGCGATTTGGTTTTTATTTATCTATAGCGGGTACATATATATGTCATTTAACTGAAGCATTGCAAAATATGTTGTGTCATTGGCATTTCAGTTAACAACTTGAAAGACTCCCAGGTAGTCTAACTTACCATAATTTGTTTATTGTGGCGAGCAAAGTGCCCTTCCTTTGTCCAGCACTTAAAAAAAATATTTTTTATTTTTATAAAAAAATCTGCTCCAAAAGCCACTTTTGCTGCTCCAAAACACTGTTTTGGCTGCACCAAAAGGTGCTCCAAAACGGCTTAGGCCAATCACATCACTGTACTTGGTAGTTCTCATATAAGATGCTTGTTGTCCCCCTTCTTAAAGAAAGGGGACCTTGTCATGCCAGTTAACCGTGGGATTAAAGGGACCATGAACCGAAATTCGGATTTCAGAAAACAATGCAGGAACAGTAGGTGGGACGCTAGAATCCCTACAACACCGCCCATAAGGCGATATTTCGAATGGACGGCCGTATTTTTGGAAAAAGAGGTCGCGATTGAACGAGGCCAACGGGGCGCGTGACGTCAACCTATCTCGTTTCCTCCTCTCTTCGCTTCGCCACCTCAGGGCGGCAAGACAGTGAAGACGCGAGGCCTTTTCCTCTCCTCGACGACGTCAACATATCTGTCTAGTGCGCCTGTTTTTTTTTTTTTAGAAAAATATGGTCATCCATTTGAGATGTCACTGTGTGAGTGACGTTTTGGTGTTTCTAGCGTCCCAATGCACACTTCTGCTATTTTGTTTTGTGGAATTCAGATTTCGGTTCAGCATCCCTTTAAGGAGCGTGTTTCCAGGAGCTTGGCAATCATAGAGCAGTGAATGTAATAAATATAATAGAAGCAGCGATGACTTCCATGTTTAGTAATACTTCCGGTTCGCCTATCTTTACCTTGTATTTGGATGGGCGCACGACAACTCTTGTTTCACTAGTGAGCAATTTTGTGAGAGCTACGCTCTAGAAATGCCCCCGTCTCATACTTTTAAGATGCTGATGCGTACCGGCACAAACCAAATGTCACGAGTGCAGTTCTTTCAATTATCTTGAGACGAGGGATGCCACTAATGAGGGATGCCACTAATGAGGGATGCCACTAATGCCGTCGAGCCTGGGTGATCGCAGGATGACGGCATTGGCAGACGTTAAACAAAATCTCCTTGTCCTTTTGCTTAGGGCTTTGACTGTTTGGTATCAGTATGTGTACAGTTCCATGCCACGACGGCATCCTTGTATGACTGGAACATTTGTGATGCTGTTGCTTTTGCAGACAGTGACGAGGAAAAAGTCTCAAAGAAGGAACTGCTGATTGGGAAACTAAAAGACAAGAAGGAAAAGAAAGACAAAGGCTATGTTGCTTTTGAAGGGGAAAGTTCTGATGGAGAGATGGATGAGTCCAAGTGAGTTTGTATCTATGTGCACACATATAGACATCTGTGTAGCATGTTATAAGAGCCTTCCCCCCCCCCCCTCCCCCCCCCCCCCCCCCCCCTTACAGCATCTCAATGATTTGTTAGCAGAAATGTCTAATGCAAGCACCCTACTTTCCAGTGTACAACAGGAATGTTATGCACAAGGCGATTCAGAAAAGTGCTTTGCTTGTTATGTACCAAGGCAAACCCTTGTTTTTTGGTTTGTTTGTTTGACAGGTGGATTTTTCTAGCCCTCTTTTTTTGTTTTATTTTGCAAGATCTCATATTGCCAAACAAAAACTACAAGCAAGGAGAGCTTAGCTGAGGAAACTTGGGAGAAAGGCAGATCTGCATAGTCTTGCTTTGCATGCTGTTTTTCTTTTTCCGTATGAACCTTGGACGGTTTCCAGGGAAGTTTGCAGCCAGAGTTTGTGATGAATGGGCAACATTTTTGATTCTGCAAGTGGTTTGTTTTTAGCAAGAACAAAACAACAAAACAAAGCAGCAACAACAAAAAAAGAAAGCTGAAAAGCACTTGCAAAGCAAACTAAGAATGGCCTTTTCCCGTCCAAGAAGCAAACATACATTACAGTTATGTCTCGTTAATATGGGCCCCATTGATATAAATACCACACTCTATGGACAAAAGTTTTGGGGACAAATTTGATAAATCTATGCGTTTTTGTCTTGTTGCTATGGGAAACTCATTGTGGATGATTATTGGGGTGAAACACAGGTGTCCATATTGACAAACATGACTGTACATGAACTTTTTTACGATTTGGAAAACTCGAGTACCTTGATCAGTAAAAGACTTCTACAAATCAAATTGAATAGCAGTCATCATTCATGAATATTTTGAACTTTTAATTATCAGCACTATCAAATGTAGTTGGGTAAAATGCCCCCTCTATTGAAAGTTACAGGGAGCCACGTAACCCCCATCTTTCAAAATGTTGAGGCAAAGAATTATACGATTGACGGAGTCAAACTAGAAGTATGTTGAACACTATTCGGTTTTGGACGAAGGTATCTATCTTTTGATTAAGGTAAAAATTTGATTTGTCAAGCTTTGGATGAGCAAAGCATGGCAGTAATTATATTAAGTATGACGCATTTAAAATAAAACAGGGAAGTTAAAGGTCGCTGGTGAATTCCACTCTGCACTGCTTGCATGTAAACAGGGAAAAATACTTGTGACAGTGGCTGCAAAATGCAGAACATTATGCAGGATGTTTTACGTAACTTGAGCCAAAGTTCACGAAAGTGCATAGCGAATTACAGGGCAGTTGTGTTGCGCGTGAAACGTGTGGCGTCTGCGCTCTCGGCGCTCTTCGTCGGTTAGTTCAGCTACTGTCTTAACGCCTGCAGATATTTCCATTCCATTCCTGGAACGGAAATACCTGCGGTAACCAGGGTTTTAAAAACGTGCGACAGGATGTCAAGTTGCTATCTGTCGAACGCATAGCTGGCGCCCCGCGGGGGTTTTCCACCAAATAGCTCCTCAACTCGCGGCAATCTGTCGTGACGTGCTGCAAAGACGCTTCCCTAAATGGTCTGTGTTTGATTCCCGTCTGGCACAAACGCTTTTTTACTGTCTCCCCCAGTCAGAACCAATCAGTGTGGAGCCTTGCGGCGATGTTTTTATTCAGGCTTCATTTTTGGTCTCCATAAAATGCCGAACACCTAGCCAAAGAATGTTTCACGTTAAAATATTACGGTGCATTTAGAAGACGAAATCAAAATGATATGTTTGTTCCTTCTTTGGAGCATGTCAGGCTATTTTTTGTATTTGCCCAATAGAATATTTCAGATTAATTCATAAACATTTAAAATGTTCTATTTAGAGCAAAATTTCCAATGATAAAGTTGCACAGGCTATTTTGTATTTTGCCCAATAAAATAATTAAGATTAATTAACTTCTAGAATGTTCTATTTAGAGCACCATTTCCAATGATAAAGTTGCAGAGCACCTTCAGAAACATCCCATTCAATGTTTCTTTATCGAGAAACCTCTAGCATAGTTTGCTTTTCTGGCTTAAAAAAAAATAATTGTGAATTATAAAAAAAAAAACGTGATTCTGCGCGCTTGCACACCCTGTATTGTAGCGCTCTTAAACGTGGCTTCAACAAATTAGGCCTACCTGCTAGCCAGCAGGGGTATGACATCTGCGCCAATTGCGCCATTTTGATGCAAACCCAATTTTCTGTGCCTAGTTACGCCAAAAACGCGAAATCTGTCGAAATCGTGCCACATTGCGCCAAAACAACTCAAAAACTAAAAAAGAAAAGTTTGCGGCGACGCTAGACTAAGCGGGAAGCGAGAGCTTGGTTGGCAACATTCAATCTCGCCGTAGTGAAGTACACGGCACAGGTACAGGGTGGCGCAAGGAACTGCCGGATTTGAAGGTTTCAGCTGTGGTACCCTTCTGTACCTATGGTACGTGGTCTTTTCCCGATTTTCCTACCACTTTCCGCTGTCATTTGTGACTGCATGCTAACGATGTGCTGTCACGCGGTCTCACTGTTTGGCCACGGGAGGTATGACGCACAGGCTGTCAAGATGAGCAAACCTAAGTATCTCTTTCATTTTGAGAGTAAACCTTTTCTTAAAAGTGCTATTGAGCACCTCCATTGTGTAATTGTTCAATCGTGTCCGTAATCTTGTCAAAATAGCCGTTGCCGTGAGTACTTTCGGTTATCACACACGTGCTTCCAGTGCGTGAGCAATCGAATGAATCGGTCACACGCCCGTATTTAGCGTTTATGTGGTGCTCATAGTTTTTCCACCAATTCACTATTTACCTTGTGACTCACTTTTGTGGGGAGTGTTTTTCTATCTGCACGTGCTTTCTACGAGCGTCCGATGGATGTCTGGTTGTAGTAAACCGTGCTTCTCTGTTCATGCTCTGGAATCACCGCTTTAAAAAGTTTTGCCCTACAATTGCGCTTTGGCACCAGTTCGTATAAGCTTGAGGTACTTGGTGCCCACCAAACTTTGCAGCAAGCCTGTGTTTCTTGTCTTCATCTCTGCGCATAAAACTCGTGTTTGGCTTTCCCTTTTTTTTTTTTTCTTTTATATTTTATCTCTGTGCGTATTGGCGCTGATGACTTATTGGAACCAGAATAAACAAAAATACCGATTAAAAAAAATGAATTTATGTGATTCATATCTTTCTCCGCTTCTACGATTTATATCAATTTTTTTTTATGATTTAAATTTCTGATGAGCTGCTCTAACATTTTCTACTCCTAATCTGCTCCAAACTGTAGACTTTTGTGCTTCGAAGTTGCTCCAAAATGCATAAACTGCTCCTCCAAAACGAGAATTTTGTGCTCCTGAGCTGCTCCAAAATCCAGATTTTTCTGCTCCGAAAATTGCTCCAAAACCTGTTTCACCTGTCTCACCCCTGGCTAGGCACGCTGCCGTTGCAAAAACGAGGCAGCGAAAATTATGTGCACATTTATTTACATGGCGGAGCCGCAATTACTTGCTACACCATAAAATCCCGTAAGGACGCCCACCCAAAAACGAAGAGATAAATGATGAAAAAAATAGGCTCTGTCTTTGGGGATGCGACGGCAAAACTTTATGAATAAAACGTAATACACTGAGCCATCTACTATACAAACCACGTGAAATGGGAAACAATGTTTAAATGGGAAAAAATGGGAAACAATGTTGGAATATTTAGCCAGAAAAACGTTATGGGTGATCTCTCGGGGGAGGGCGCCTTTACGGGATTTTACGGAGCACGACCGATTGTTATGAGCCAAAGGGCAAAGGGCCAATCAAACGGCGAAAAGACATAACGTCATGCTACCCTCTGCAGTGCATAGAACCAGCCGGTGTTTGCCATCTTTCAGTGCGTGCTCCTCCGCCGGCTAGTTAAAAAAGCGAGTGATCTTGCGCTTTTTTAATGGCCCTTCGGCTCATAATATCTGCCGCACTCGTACCTAAGGTGAAACTAAATATAGCGCAAATCTGTCGACACTGTCCTGTCTAGCATGTGGGCCTTGTTCGTTCTACAAAGAGTTGAGAGTGCTACAGTGCAAGGCATGCACGAAGTCGCATGTTTTGTTTCGTAATTTGCGGGCTCTTTTGAAGCTTGGAAGAAAGAACCGTGTTAAAGGTTTATCGATAAAATTTTCTGAATTGGATGTTTCTGAGGATGCTGTAATACTTTATCATTGGAACTTTTGCTCTAAGTAGAAAATTTTTCGAAAAGTTCATTAATTAATTTCAATTATTTTATCGTCCAAAATACAAAAATAATGTGACTAGCTCCAAACGATGAACAAACTTATTCCTTCGGTTTCGTTTTCCTAACGTGCATTAAAATGTTTTTAGGCATGGGCTCAAGGTATGTGAGGCACCCCATATAAAACAATTGGAAACAAATTGCGAAAGGGAAACGTGACACCAAAAATTTGCAGACAATGAAAGCAGCCGTTAAACAGGAAACATGTTTCAAAGTCTGCAAAGGTCTGTCGGCGAAAGCTCGCACCACGGATCATCAGATTTCTCAGTGCCATTTACGGTACTTTGAATCGTGCAACATTGTAAATGAAAAATCGATGTCCTCCCCAATATTGATTTTTTGTTCCTTTTAGGGGCAAGGGTAAAAAAAGTAAGGCGCCATTCAAGTTTCCGGGCAAAGAAAAGAAAGAGAAGTCTCTGAAGAGCAAAGACAGCAAGGACGGACCCAAATCCAAGGACTCCAAGGAAGCCAAGAAGGACCCAGACAGAGACTCCAAGAAAAAGAAAGAGAGCAAGGTGAAGCTCGGCAAGAAGAAGAAGAAGCACGAGTTGGAAAAGGCCGGTGAGCGCCGTTTCCTTCTCGTTGGTCTTGGGTGTCGTTTGGTCCTGGAACGCGTTTCCAACTCGCGCGTTTACCGTCCCCTCAACGCACAGAAAGTTGTTCCAAAGTGGCAAAAAATTGTTCCACTCGTTGGGCTTGGTCCCACTACGGCACCCGAGACGTGTTTCTGACTCGCGCATTTACCGTGCCATCCTGTCCACGCGTAGAAAGTTGTCCCGAAGTGGAAAAAAATTGGGTCACGGGAGCCGTCGTTGGGCGCAGAAGTCGAGGAACCTCTTTTGAGGACGAGGCAAACGCGTACCTCGGGCAGCATACTTGTACGAGCATCCCGTTTCTCATCTTGTCTCTGTTTCACTCTTTTCTATAGAGAACCCCATTTTCGGCGTGCCTTTGTTGACTGCCCTGGAGAGAAACCCGTCGCACGACGGCGTGGAGCTTCCGGCGCTAGTGAGGGAGTGCATCGACTACATCGAAGAACATGGTGAGCGCGCTCCGGCGGCGGGTGACGGGCCCACGTGACTGACCGTGAGCTTCCCTCCCTCCGCCAGGCATGACGTGCGAGGGCATCTACAGGATGTCCGGGGTCAAATCCAAGGTTCAGCAGCTGAGAGCCCGCTGCAATCGCCACGAGTCGCTGTGTCTCAGCGAGCATGAGCCTCACGTCGTGGCAAGCCTGCTGAAGCAGTTTCTCAGGGAGCTGCCGGACCCCGTGCTCACCAGCGAGCTGTGCCCCAAATTCGAGGAGGCCGCCAGTAAGGGAGGACGTTGGAGTTTCGTTTTTTGCTTTCCGACGTTTCGTCGCTGTCTGGAACGTGTCTGCCTTTCTTTTCACGCTTAAGCTGTCGTTTCTTTATTCACGACATTTGGAGTCACGAGGTGTCCGAGGGGTCGCAGGTCCCGGACAGTTACACTGTCTGCGGGGAGGCCGTTCCAGCCCACAGTTGCGTCAGGTGAAAGAGCATGTCGGCGTGCCGTGGAAAACAGTGTGGCTTGCCCATTTTGTGGCAGTCGTCGGAGTTGGAGGAAGAGCTAGGCAGAGAGAGAAGAAAGTTATGTTTGGGTAACTCTTGGATATTTGACAAATAATCTGGCACTCCGATTCTGTCGTGGACGTAATAGAGCCGTCCACGCCTAACGATCTGGACTTCAATTCGACCCTCACGGATTCAGTCTAAGAAAATTGAATGTGTTATTAGTGATGTAAAAGTGCCTTTTGTCAAGATATTTTTGCTATAACTATTTTTTTTAACGCCCATTTGAATTTTGCAAAAAACAAACCTCAAAAAACAAATTTTTTTTTTTTTTTTTTTCAAAAAGGTTTTGAAACGAGATTGCAAAGCAAACACCGCCTTTAGAAGGCAAGTATGTTCTAAATTAAACAATGTTTTGTCACATATTTCCTAGTGTTTTAAGAGTTTGGATGCCTTAAAAATGATCTAAAAAGCTCATACAGTGGAATCTCATTAATTCAGACTCTCTTAATTCAAACTAACGGATAATTCAAACTAACGTGTGGGTCCCATCCTATCCGTTTCTAGGGAGGAAACGCCCAATTATTGAAACTGCATTATTCAAATGAAGTTTTGGTCCTCCTCAGGTTCATACTAACCGGGTTCCACTGCATTCACCTTTTATTTTAAAAAATACGCTACCATACAGAAAAAAATTTTGATAAAACATTGTTCTTGTTTTTCCTAAAATAAATGTACAATAGGAACATTTAGCAAAATAGTCAGTTTTAAAAAATGTAAAACTTGTAAAGGTACTCGTTTTAAAAATATATGCTCAGTGGTTATAGATGTCATAGAATTCACACAACAAACAAACAAAGTTAGGACAAATATTTTTGGAAGGGAAAAAGAACATTTTTATTTTGAGAATTTTCACTATTTAAAATATTGAAAAATTTACAGTTTTCAAAGTGAAAACCAAAAGCTGTTATGCCTATATGTAGCTCGTAACTAAGACAACCAATGAGCAAAGTTTGAATGAAGTATTAATTTCTAAAAGTGAAAAAAATATGTTTTATCATTGGTCCCAGCAACCGCATTGTGCTATATATTGTCACGAATGACAGGAGCAGAATGAAAATCTAGTTTCAAACTGAAAGTTTAATAAGCCATACTTGTACCAAACAAAGTAAAGAACAAGCATGGAGACATGAAAAAAGTGAGTGGCAAGTGGCAAGGTAACAGCAAGCGAGATGGAGACTGCTTTGTCAGGGTAACGCGCAGCTCCTTATTAGGTGTGAGTCGACATATCAGAAATTCGGCCCAGAGGGTTAGAGGGTGATTTCAGATAAGATCGACCAAAGAATGGCTAGTTGACATTTTCAAATCAACTGATGTTTTTATATGTTATTGTCTAGTGTCTGGTATGAACGAATCCAAACTTAGTTTTGACTAGAAAAAATACTTGGGGACAGGAAAAATCGTAAGGCATGAGGTGGTGGACAGTTGCATTAACGCGCACTGATGGAGGGGGCCCGTTTGAGAGTGAATAACTAAAGCGATAACATTAGCAGAACTCTAATACGTTTTAGGCACAAACTATGGGTATAGCTTGCTTGTAATATAAAGTAATCATATTTATTTAAAATTTATTTATTTTTCTAAAAGTTGACAAACATGCCTGCTCGAACGACAAATGGCAAAATTTGGAGGTCTGTATCTCATGAAATAATTTAATCATTGATATAATTTGCAGATATTATTCTACTAATATATAGCTAATATTTAAAAATTAACTAAGGTATCTGTGTGATACAATAGTTAGGATATATTTAGTCAAACATGGAAAAAAAACCAAACAAAGAAAAATTCCGATGCTAATAAAAAAAAAACACCACCCTCGATTTTTTTAAAATTTAGGTAACCTGTTAGTTATACTCTATTTCGGCATTCATTTTCATTAAAAACATGTTGCATCATTTTATTGAGAAAGAAGATACAACTCCCCAAAGTAGGGTCCTTTTTCAAAGCCTACACTTAGCAGTGTTTTATACAAGAACTGACTCTGAGTTCCAGTTTCATGAAACCAACACACATCTTTGATATATTTTTATTCAGATGAGGCCAATGATAACTAAAGAAATCGTTCACACACTTAAATTAAGGAGAAACTACTGTGTACAAAGAGGTATCATATTACGGACAAGTGATCCGAGAAAAGATCATGCAGCCATCGGCCACTAGGAACTTTGTTTACTTTATTCTCCTGCGACACTATATGCTATTCCCTCTTCCGCTCTACCTTCATCTCTCTCTCTCTCTCTCTCTCTCATATATATCCCTGATATATATCCAGAACAAAAACATGTTCAAGCATTCCCTTTCTGCATGGTAGTGTTCTGTGGCTAGCAAAAATCATTTCCTCGCTAAGCTCACGATTATGGCAAAATAGTTGCCGGAAACCGCAGACGACACTCGTCGCTAGTTCTGGCAAAACGGCCGATACAATCTTTTTTTCGCATTTCCCCGCTCGCTGTCAAGGACAAGGGGGTTCGCTTCAACCAGCAAAACATGGCCGCCGACGCCTGTTTACTGAGCAGTCATGCCTGTCGCCATCTCACTCGCTGGCGTCACGGGCGATAATATCAGGCACAAAGGGGCACACCAACCGGCAGCATTATCCCCAAATACTCGAGCCTCGCGTAAATACATAGAGTGTAAACGCTGTCGCCATGTTATCGTAGTAAGACCGCCCCCCCCCCCCCCCCCCCCCCTCCCCCAACGGGGGACTGCAGTACGCGACGGCGTACTAACACAACGGCGACGATATCGACATCGCGGGCTCCGAATTTTCCCATAGTTCTACTCCACGGGCATTTCTCGAAACGCTTGATATTGTGTACGCCCGCCTGGAAGGATTTCAGGCGCGTAGTTAAGATAAGGCGGTTCTCCGCGGCAAAAGAAAGCAATTTCACAAAAGCTTAAAAGCGGCGGCGACGCGTGTGCGGTGAACGCTTGTAGTTTTGGTGTAGACAGGGTGTGTGTGTTCTTGTTGTTGACACCAGCCGGCGATAAGGCACTGCAGGCGGTAGCTCAGTACAGCAAGGGCTAATCCGAGTGACCATCATCGTAACCCCACCGCCAACCCCTCGCGAACCGGTCGCCGACATGGCTCAGGCTGTGTCATGAACCACGTAGTAGAAGCTCGGGTGCTTTCATATCAGCGCGTGGAGGGACGACAGTGCGATTCCGGAAAGTCTTTTTCGAAGGCCGCTGACCACAATTTTTTGTCTGGAGACTTTCCCTCTTTCTTCCTTTGACGTGGATCAAGCTTTGCCGACAGCCTCAGTTGTGACCTCTCTTTTCAAATGTATGTTTGCAGTGAGTGAGCTCCTCAGCCTCGGACTTGTCACTTGTGCACCCAGTAGTTCTTTCACTTGGCAATTATATGCCATCAGTTGGGGTTTAATTTCTATTATTTATGTATACATTATGAAGACGTCCTGGAGCTCCGAACGAGTGTTTTGTGCAGATTACTTTTGCAAACACAAAAAGACTATACCAAAGCAGCGGAATTTTCGAAGTGTTGGCGAGTTGGACCTAAACTCGTTGAAGCAAATTCTTCCGCCTGACTGTTCCACCAAAGTGAGTGCGACGGACTACCTGTGCTACCATTGCTTCATGCACATCACTAAGGAGATCTCGATGCGAAGCTCAGAGCAGTGCCCTGACATATTTGTGCCAGCTGAAGAAGCAATTGAAGATCTAAATCGCAGCATACTACCTACAGATGTGTCGCGGCTGAGACAACCAAGCGTCGTAAGAAGTCGGGACAGGCCTGCCTATGTCAAAAGAAAGCAGACAGAACTGGAGCAGGTTGCTGTCAAGAATATACGCTCAAGGCTACGTATTGCGTACGACAGGGACGCACCATCGGGGTCGTCCGAACCAACATGCTCCACATGCACTGAGTGGGTGGACAACTTTCGGCAGGCCTTTGAAACCGCCACCTCTCTCCGGGAACGTTGTCAACTGCTTACACTCCTGCCGTCAACACTGACGAAGAATGAGGTTCAAAAGATGATTCCACAGGCCTCAATGTACCTCATCAGTAAATCCCGAAAACTCAAGGAAAAGCATGGCGTGTGGTATGAGCCGGATCCTTACACGAGGTGCAAGGTGAGCCCTGAGAACCTGTCTGCTGCCCTAGAGTACTTCACGAAAGACGAGCTACAATGTTCGCGCCAAAGTCCCAACCAGAAGGACGTCATCTCTGTCTTGCTCAACGGAGAGAAAACGTTCGTGCCAAAGCGCTTCATGACACGCTCAATACGAGAGGCCTTCCGTATATACAAAGACAAGCATCCCGATTCCGGCGTTGGGCTAACGAAATTTTATTCGTTGCGCCCTAGATGGGTCCAATGTATTCCACACCAGGAAGTGTGCGTTTGTGTGCGCTGCGCCAATTATTATCTTTGTATTGCCGCTTTAGAGAACGTTACAGGCTCAACATTCAACACTGGTGAAATGAACTCGGCATTTCTGTGCGACCCAGCAACAGAACTGTGCCTTCAAGGAGACTGGGATCACTGCCCAAAAGGCCAGTTTCTTACACTCCAGGAACTTGATATCCCGGAGGATGAAGAGATTGTGCTTGCAACATGGGAGTCCGGCGACCTTGTGAAAAAAACATTGGAACCTGAGACTTTCCTAAAAGTCATCCAAGTGATGGTTGGAAGTTGGGTACTTCACAACCATATCCGGCAAACGCAAGGTAAAGCGATCTACGATGAAAAACAGTG